CGGGAGCAAATGCTCAGCTGCTTTGGCACCTTTCCTACAAAATTTGAGTGGGTGCAAGAAACTCGTGCAGAACAGCCTGTTGAGTATATGTATTCAAGACCTCAAAAAAGAGAAGGAAGTTTTTCAAGGTTAAAATGAGGGTAGATTTGAAAAGGGAAGACCCTTTCTATTGGACGACATATAAAGTGGTAGTTGTTTCTCAAAGATGATTCAGGAAATAATGAAAAAAAAATGAAGCGTTCAAGGTGAGCTACTAAAAATGGCGAATTTTCGGATATTTTCCGAACGACTCATTGAATCCCAAAACAAAAAAAAATCCTGTGAAGAAAGGGAAATACAAAGATTCTTGTGAAATTCTTACCTGAACTAAACGGTCTTGCCGAATCTGTGAGTATAGGTGCCGGTTTCTTGTGATAAAGGCCTGGAGCTAATCGTGGTAATGGTTCGCCATTTTCCATGCGGCTGAAACGAGTGTTAATGGATGACTTCATCGAGATCGAAACTCGCTTATTTTGTAGCATAATGAACGTACGCCAAGCTAGTTTATTATGTGAAAAAACTCCTGCGAGATCAAGACAACCTGGTTTTCCCCTGTTATCGCGAGACTCCACTTAGGTTTCTTTTGAAGGACAGTTCCTTGAGAGAAAAAAAACAAATACCCCATGTAGAGTGCACAGCAGTAACCTTTTTAAGAAATAAAATACCTATACACGAAAAAATAAACGAAGTAGTACGGAATATGTTCAGGGATGCCAAAAGGGGTAAGCGATTCGTGCGAAAAACCTGATAATAAGTGGTGGATGTGGTGTTAAATTTCCTCGAGACCATGGGAATCAAATATTGACATGGAACACACGCTCCCACTTCGAGGTGACACAGAACAATAGGCAAAACAATAAGAGAAAGCAATTTGCTGGAAATAATTGAAAGAAATAGTAACAAGAAACTATCCAAAAATACTCCGAGCTGGCTGAATAATCACCCAAAGAGATAGGTGGTTACGCTGTTAAATAATTCACTAATTATCTCAACGATCAACAGTGATCATCCGTCATAAATAATGAGGCAGATGGGAAGATTCCCTGAAGACGGTGTTATCAAAGCACTGCTCAACTATTCAGCTCATATACTATTACTCAATTACTTAATGACAGCTGGGCACAACAGCGCGTAAGGCTTGAGCACATATGATGCATAATCCGCAGAAAAAAATTCCTTAGGTCGGTTTCAGAGCATTATCACTTCGATTGCAAACAGCTGAAGAAAGGAAAAATAGCTATTAGAAACAAATAACAAACATATAAGCTAAAGCGCACATGACATAGTACCTCTAATTAAAGTATTTTTTGTTCCATGGAATGGATTCATTCCTTCCGATAGCTTTTTCTTGATAACGTAGGGTAAATTAATCGAAACATAAAAGGCAGGGAAGAAAATCATCAATCATCTAGCTGGAAAATTCTACGAGATATCAGAAAAAATCAGGGCTCAATTCTCGGACGACTGCAGTCAAAAATCAGTCCCCTGCTTCGCAATTGTGCCGCATAATGACGTAATACACTACGGTTCAATAGTACAGGAAGGAGTACAAAGATGCACACACAGGAGCGAAAAGAAGGAAGTGTTAGGCTGGCATCAGACGTCAACAATCGGCATCGCGCATTCGCGCGTGTATTCGCGCGACGGAGTCCACAGAAATCACAAGGCCCCGTCTTCATTAGTGCACAACAAGTCATGCCTCTTCGAGCCCCCACTATGTTTTGCTGATCCGGTGTATGCCGGATTGACATGACGACCGTGTCGTTGCACTTGTTTCATATTCAAGTGTTCCAAGAGTTCGAATGAGGCACTTGCGATTTGCGCGAATCGCGCGAAACCTGCGACGGATCGCAGACTCTGACACCAGTCTTACGGGTCAAATTAAGTGACAGTTGGCTGAAAACGAAGGCTGACCTGGTGGTGTTGGTGCTGTTCGTCTCGCCAGTTGGACCACTCGAAGTCGGACTTGTTGACGTTGACGTTGTGTCCATGGAGCTTGCTGAGGAAACGTTCTCGTGTGATATTGTTAACTTCTCCGTGACAGGTACTCTTTCAGTGCTCTTTTTCACAGATTCCGCTTTCGACGTCAGTGATGGTGAACCATTCCCATTCTCTTCGATCTCTGAAATATTGTCGTGTTTAATGATGTCACACAACTTTTCGAAAGAATCATTTTACAACTATTCCATCAAAAATGGGTCGCCTGGGAGGACACCATAAACAAATAATTTCAAGAAAGGGTGAGGAAGATGATGGAAAATAGCTGGCAATTAAGACACAGAACTACAAGAAGGTTCGGAAACACTCATATGACAAATCAACATATCTCAAGAGAGAAACCCATGAAGATTCAAAAAATCCTAAATTGTAAAAATACCGAGTAGCAATACAATCTAAAATGTGATGAAATGGTATCTCGTGTGTTGGTGCAGCTGCGGACCACGCACAATTGTTGGAACGAACTGGTACTGTGCAAGGCCCGCAATTACATTTTTAAAGTAGACATTCGTTGTTTAATTTAGTAAGTAATAAAAATAAACGCACGTACACGTATAGGTTCGTAACTCTTTTGGGCGCTCATGTCCTTGGGGGGGGGGGGTCATTCAAAACAGGCCGATGGTAGGTGACACTGAGACTAAACCCAGGAGAGAGAGAAACCCCAAGAAAACACAAATTGCTTACGCCCCCGGAATCCATTTCCTCCGCTGAGTCCTAAGTACTGTAGTGGCTCACTCGTATGTTTCTCCTCACCCCCCCCCACGACACGAGCCTCTCTTTAGAACTTTGCCTCAGTGGTGGCCAATATGAGCTCAAATTGACCGGATATCTCAAATGGTCCGTTATGTAGCGCTGGCTGTCACACCGCAGGTCGTGGAAAAATAAACCTACCGGTCAGCGACATGGTTACATAGCCAGCTCACTCGTAGCCACACCCAGTTGTGGAACCATGTCGTAATTGCAGACATAGTGATAGATGCGACATGAGATAGCAGCTATAGCATTGAAAGAACACGTGATCTCGATTTTTCAACACGTCGCCTCGTCACTATGAGTCTGCAATTACGGTATGTCCCGCCGCGGGAAACAGTATAAATAGATGACGCTGCATGCAATTATACAGTCCTACAGTCGTTCGTTCCTCGGTCAAAAAGTGAGTAGGCGACAAGAGTTTATATTTATTAATGTATCCAGAACGGGGGACAGACAATAACCAAAATAGAAGATGGAATACAAAAAAAAAATAATAATAGTAAAAACGCACTAAATATGAAAAAGTGGACAGCCGGTGATGTAGCCCTGGACAGTAGGAATGCGCGTTTTCAGACAAGATTCGTGTGCAGAATGATGATTTTCGGATTTGTAGGCCTCTGGCGTCGTGGAATAACACACCTGGTTGGAGTTACTCTAAACTTCTACTAAACAACGGAGGGGAAGCTTGGGCTTTCTAGGATGCGCCACTCATTAGCTATTCAGCTGAAATTCATGGGCATTTGAATGAGTTTGCAGCGTTTACAATGGTTTGCGTTAAGTGTTGCGATCTTTCGCTGTCTTCTCACTCAGGGATCGTAACTTTAGGTAAGGTACTGAAACTATGATTTTTTAGAGGAGATCTGACGGCACAATGGTAGTGACTACGATTACCTGTCCCAGATCCTCACCCCCGCTCCATTGAAAGTGATAACGCAGCAAGTAAGAGAAATGGGCCCTTCAAAGAGCGGCTGTTGACCACCACAGCTTGCACTTTGCAAGCTGAGATTGCAAGGAAACGTCATTTGTTCCCACCACACTCTCAAAGGGCCCCTCGTCAACAGTCTGCTAAGTAAAGTACGCAGCGAGTTAAGGGGTACTGCATTTGTTGAGGCTATTAACCAAGAATTTACTTTAATGGCGGAATTTACAATTAGTAAGGCAGACCATTAGAATCAAGGTAGAGGTAGTCACGGTCATTGGTGCCGGGGTGAAGAAAGAGCTATAGAAATGTTTTAGAGCTGGAGAAAGTCGGGTTCTATACGCCGTTAGTTTCGCGTTGATGTAAGCCTCATCGGATGCCGCTGCAAGCTCACGCCTCTTCACTGCTAGGACCCAGACACCTACGCGTGTGGCTTAGCCAGTCGGTGGGCGTGCGCGCCGACAACACACGTGGAGGACCATGCCAAATCGCCGAGCATAAACTTGGCTGCGATTGCGTGTCGGTCCGCAGCCTTAGGGGTTCTGTTGTATTTCCACACAGAGATTCCTCCCTTTCTCCTTCGACCTTATCGTGGAATCCTCCTTTGAGGTCTAATATATGCAGTATTATGCGTTTTAGAAGTAATGTAAACTCGCAAAATATGTGTAAAAGTGAAAATGTGCTTACCATAAAAGAAAGAAACTATTGTAAATGGAGAAAGATAAATATTGAAATAATTCCTCGCTCCCTCCCACGTGTAGGTGCCGATATGCTACCCCCGAAAGGGCCACAAAGTGTCTGGAATAGCGCCAAGGGAGCAAGTATGTGGGATGACCGACAGGGATTCTATAAGTAGAGAAATCGAGAGACACAGAACATTACCTCATTTCTTATAGGCCTAATCTCTACAAATTTCCAAAAGAACAGCACTAGAAAAGTGTGGCGCTAACTTAGTATACGGGGACATTTTTCAAGACTAAGCCTTGGAGAGCGGGAACTTCGGGGAAAATGGAACGCCTCACATCAGTTCTCCTGTCCTGCCTAAGGCTTCGTCTTGTTTTCAACAGAAAGAAGATGTTTTACGCGGTCTCAAATGAGCTGCCACCACAATGCCCCTGTATCTTGTGACAGCGCCAAAAAAGAATTATGAACTTATTGCTTTGTTTTGTCTTTTGAGACTGTGAACTAACGACAAGTTAGGCCGATGTCAGACTTTGCGAAGTAGCGCGATTCGCTAGCGTCTGCGGTCGCGTCGCGGCCAGTGAATCACTCAGTTGGCTGGTACCGCAACGCGACCGCGCGCTTGCGAATCGCGCGATTCGCATACATACATCGGCCATATAGTTACCTTCGCTCTTCCGTGGCCTATTCTCTTTTAAGTAGGCGATTAATTGATGACGATGTAAAAATCTAAGTTTTATTTGGTTCTTAGCAAAATTTTCGTGGAAAAATCATAAAGGATAAAGCATTTGCCGTTGATCAATCCCTTTTTGGGATGCGGCACGCATTCTACTTCCATTTGTACATTCGTAGTGGCGTTTGAATGCGATGTGGCCTATACAATGACTTGCGGGGGCCAGCCGATGTACAAGTCAGTGTTTTTATCCTCCCAGACAAGTCTGGTACCAATTAACCGACCCCGGAGGGATGGAAGGCTTGGTTGGCCCGGGCGACTCACGACCCAGGATTTGATCCCCGGACCGCTCGCGTGGTAAGCGTGCCACTTGCCACTACACCACTTCCGCCCAAATTAGTACACAAGAATAAACAAGAATGATTTACTCCAGAAAGGGAAACAAGTGGGAAAAATAGAAAAAAAACAATAGCACTTCACTGAGTCAGCAGAAAAATGGGGTCGTCGAAAGAGCTTGGAGGAAGTAGTGGGCGACTTCCCTACGATCGGTCGATCGATGGTATTTTACGACCTCACTGACCATATGATCCAATTACAACGTGAATACCCTGCACTTTGATGGCTTTTAGTGCATCGCTGTATAGCCATTGAAGCTGACCATTCCAGGGTTGTAAGCTCCCTTTGAATGGTAGCGCTTTATTACTAGTAGCGCAACCAGTCCAGGCGGTGCCCAGTCCGGGGGTAGTCGACCGGTTCCAGGTTTCAATGTGAAACGACCTCTTCCCGACTTTGATAGGGTCTCCCTTCGGATTTCCTGCTTGCCTTCCCAGTGGTGCGAGAAGGCTGAAAACGGATGTTTTCCATATGGTTTATATTTAATTAAATATATTTGGTCCCACCTGAAGCCTATCTCCAACGTGGAGTGGGCGCAAATGCAAAAAATCCCACTAAAATTGAGCTCTTTTCCCCCCAAATCCACAATCGAGAGCCTCCATTGAACTTGGCTCATGTTGTGGAAACATGAATGAGATACCCTTGACCCTCTAAGTTTAAAGTTTAGCATAAGTAAAGTTCTGCTGATTGCTGTCAGGCGTGCAATGCAAAATGCGACACATTCAGATCTTTCCAGATGGCCCTCCACTGCTAATAATTGGAAGGCTCGCGTCCGGTGTTCGTTCGAGGTGGTGATATATCTGAAGAAGAAGAAGCACTAACTACCCTACAGCGGCTACCGCGGCGAACTAGCTGTGCATGCAAAGATTATTGAACTGATAGCTGTGGTGCAGGCATCTACCTGAAGAACAGATACTGCCCTTCAAGATTGCTGCCTTCAAACATTATGCACGGGAAGGATACGAGGAGTCTAACTAGGCGACTGGCATTACTGATCCAAGAGTTCCCAATGACATCTGTATAGCAGAAGCCTTGAAGTTAGTCAATACTTGCCCATGGTTCAAAAGGAAGCAAACAACCAATGTCGAATAGCAAGGAAATCACGCAACCTCCTGATGGGCCTCTTGATTAGATGAGGCGTGGACAAATATTTACCCAAGGAGCAAGGCGTCAAAAACATCCGTGTCAGAGGTCGGCTGATGGAATCCCAAGCCTAACGATAAGTACTGGTTCGCCCAGACTCTACAACACATTGACAGATAGGGGTTGAAAAATCGAGGAATCTTCTGGAAGGATGTTGCTTGGAGGTGAGTGAATTTGGCTAGAACTGATAATGGCCAAGGAATGTTGTTGGAGAGATTGCAGAAAGAAAGTAAAAAGGACATGGAAAAAAGGAAGAATTTAGGAGAATTTTATGAGACGGGGAAGACGAGAACGCACAAAGGTAAAGCGGTATATACCCTCCCTTCAAAAAGCGAGAAAGTGTCGGGTGCAGACCATGCACCACAAGTGACGACGGCCTTCACAAAATGTTAATGTTTTCTGCCAATGAAATGATTAGCCTGTTGCAGTTGTATTCTATCGATTGTCACTATCATTTACCAGAAATCAGCTATCACTATGAACAACTTCTAACCAGATTTACTTGGAGGCCGTCGTCAGTTGTGGTGTTTGGTCTGCACCCGACACTTTCTCGCTTTTTGAAGGTTACAAGGCTTCTGTCAACCAGGGGGTGAGAGTGTAGAAGGAAAAGCAGACGTTCTTTGTGGTAGTGGGACTAAGCCTTTTGAAGGAGGTAAAGAAAGCGGAGATTCTGTGATAGTGCGCTTGTGTGAGAGCTCCCAGACAGCACAACAAAACGCTGAATTGCCTAGCCTCACGGTTGACAGATGTCCGGAGACCCTTTTGAAGAGGTGGTTATGTGTTGCACAGGTTCGAATTGACCGATACATATGTAAACGCTGCTTTGAAAAGCTATCGATATATGCGAAAAGGCAATAAATTGAAAAAATAAGATTTTAAAATAAAGTATGACTCAGAACATGCGTAGAGTGCGCGGCGTAACCCAGAAGGATCCATCAAGACCTAGAAACCTGAAAAAGCTGAACTTCGCACGGAATACGGAATTCTCTAATCATTCCCATAATGAGGTGAGCCTCATAGGAGAAAAATAATTGGATTGGTATGCACATGAATACATATAAGGCAGGGATAGCCGAGTGGTTAAGAGGTTAGACTCATGTCTGCACCTCTGAAAACCGCGAGTTCGATCCCTGCCGAGGCTCTAAACCATGCCTTGCAAAAATTGCAAAAATGGTTCTAGTACCAGCGTCAGGCCCAGGTTGACAGGCCGGCTGATGAATACCCCTTCGCAACCAAGAAATCTCTAAAAGTTGTTCAAGAAGAAGCAGAAGAATACACATATTTGTATAGAAGAATGAGCTGGGGCCATGTCACAAGGCGCCACAAGGCGCCTCTACATGTGGCGAGCATGTTCACGGATCGAGTCCGTACAGGAACCATTGAGCCTCCTCTCCGTCCCCACGGAAATGTTAGCCGGTACTGAAGCGATTTAACAGGTCAAAATGGCTAAACTGTGCGCCTGTCCCGAGGAAGACGACATTACCTGGGCCAAAGTAGGCCGAATGCCTATTCAAATCTCTCTACAATTCTGAGTGGTAGTCGAAAGCGTGGCACATTCTGGGGGCACATGACTGCTGTAGAGTTTTTTCTTTTTTATACTCGTTGTTTTAACGAGAGAGTACTGAACTAGTGAGATTCTAAAAAAAGAGTTTAGCGATCAATTTCACGACGAAACATTTTTGACTATCATGAAGGCGGTTTGAGAAGAGGACACATGTTTCTCATAAACGTTTTATGGAGGACGTTCACGTTCTGCGGAAAATTCGATATTACTGATGTAGCCCAAGAAATTCGTCGTAGATCGCCGCATTACTTAGCAAAAACGCTCTGGGTTTTATTTGAATGGACTCCGTCATGAAAAATCGAAATAACAGGCTTCAGTATGCTAAAAACGGAATTTGAATAATAACCCAAGGTTGTACCTAATCGTAGAAAATTCGGCATATGGTGCGGCAGTGAATTCATCCATCCATCTCTGATTTTCTTTCCAAAATTTTCGTAGAAATCGCTCAATGTGGCCATCCCAAGCGTGATAAGTTTGGACAAGATTATAAGTTCAGGAAAACAAGATAGTATACCGTAACCCTGCGTTGGTGCCGGAGCGCACTGGGAAGCGAGCACGCATTGGAAAATCTGTGCACGTAACATTGCGCGTCCCAGTGTTAACGCTCCTGCATCGAAAGGTTACGGTATATCGCCCTACGTTCCTGAACTTATAATCTTCTCTAGTAGTGTGCCCAAACTTCAAGAATCTTCTCTAGTAATGTGCTCAAACTTCACTTTGCTTTGATGGCGACAAGACCCCACCTTCCCCTTTCCTGACAGCTGACTCCCGGTTGAACTAGCAGAGGTTTTCCACCCTATTCACTTCTGATTGTATATTTAGCATTAATTTACAGTACCCACGGGTCTCCCTTGATAAGCCGGCCGGCCGAAATCGGCCGAGAACTGACTGAAAAAGTGGCTAACCAAATTTCTGAAACAGGAGAATTGGGATAGACAGATTCGGGCCGATGAGGTAGTACGACAGCACCGCGACTCTTTGGCTAATGAAGCCTGCCCGAAGGGCGAGTAAGCGCAAAGTTTTCAGTTGTAAAGGGTTCGGTCATGAAAGGGCAAAAAGTACAAAGAGAAGATAGAAAGAAAGTACAAAGAGAAGATAGAAAGAATCCTGCAAAGTTTGCAAGGGCACAGCTTCAATACAATGAATTGATCTATTGTTGGGTATGTTTACCCAGGTATTCAAACTCTCGTAAAGCAAAGATTTGAGCGAAGATCACTCGAAAACTGAAACATCGAATGGAGATGTTTGGAGCTATGAAAAAGGTTCGCTGGCATGTTGCGCTCAAGTCCCGGAAACCCGGCTAATTCCGAACCATTGTGCTGAAGAAGATGCCCGTTTGGTCCCTCATGCTCGTCTCTACCCTTGAGATGCTCATGCCCATGGGTTCATGACTCCCAGTCACGAAACATTAAGTACCGCAGGTGTGTTACAGCGTAGGAATGACTCACTCACAGCACGTCTTGTTGTTGAGCATGAGCGGCTCAACGAAGGACTGAACCGGAAGTCATACTTTATCACAGAACCTTAACTATTGAATAAGAGGGGGAGGGTTACATTGCTGTAAAACAGTTCGTCTGAAATGCTCTCACCCGATTTTGCTCAAGGAGTTCTTCGCAGTAAAAGCGGCAGCATGGGTCTTGGGCCTGTTGGGGGACTTTTAGTGCAGTAGTCAGTGTTACTGTTAACAGAGGAACCCTACAAAATGCTAGGGCTTACTTATGAGACAGTCCAAAAAGCAGAAAAAAAACTAGTGAAGGCCAATATTGTTCAAGTTGTACCGAACGTACTTGACAGATGGTCACAATGGGCAGAGCGTCCTGGTGGGCGTGGTTTTCTATAAAATTTCATAATTCAATTCTGAGGCGACTTTAAAAACTCAGGAGGAGGTAAGGTGCAATACCAATGGGTAGGGGATCATAACCGTGCATAGGAAAAACGCGCGCATTACTCTGGCCATTTTTTTTTGAAAAATGCACCTTATCTAGGGTTTTTTCTGGCATACTCATCACTTTTCGACTTCCTTCTTCGGATTCCATTGTTTCCCATAGAATGGAGTTTCGAAGAGCAAATATTGCCTGTGAAGTATCGTAAAATCTAGAAGTGCCTTCTCTTTACCAGATCCAGGGACGAGAAATAGTCATCAACCAGGTGCTCAGGTGGCAAGAGATCAGGCTAATGTCCCCGGCTGGCGGTGATGGAACAGCCGTCGATGGGTCGTCGTTGTAAAACATGCCACCCTGTCATGCACTCAACCCACCGCAGCAATCAACCCTTTCAATCCTAGAATAACTAGGAGCTCTATAACATTTTTAGGCTCTTTATAGAGCGTGTTTTTCTCGTATAACTTCGTATACGTCGTTTTAAGTCAGGAAATAGCTGAACGCCCAAAATGTAAGTAGAAGAACGAAAAACTAGAAGCTAAGAGGATATCCTTTTGAGGTCCCTAGCTGAATAGATTTGCATTGTTTGATCTTACAAAAACTTAACAGACATTCTTAAGTTAGTTAGAGGTACGAGCAGAGGTAGTGGAAGTAACGTGTGGCGCCGCTTACCACGCGTGCGATCCGGGATCAATTCCCTGATTGGAGGGATAGATTCAGCGCCTTCCACATCGGATGTCTCCGCAAGTCATGAAATACAGGGGGGGGGGGGCTGGTGAAGAAGCGCTCTACCTTTGGAGGGGCATTTCTGGAATATTTTGCTGGCAAGATTACTTGTTTCTGAGTTTCACGATTCTGAAAGGCAGCCCACAGAAAAGGTAGAGGTGTTCAGCTGCGATGGCAATAAACAACCCATACGTCACCAATACTAAAGAAAGAACCATCATGGAATCCCGAGAATTACCGGCCTGTCAGTATTACATCCCTTTTCTGCAGAATATTTGAAAAAGTTTTGAAAGAACATATAAATCACCACTTGACAATAAACCATGTTGTTTCAAAACACCAACATGGTTTTGTATCAGGTCGTTCCGTTGAAACTAATATGGTTGAATGTTTGAATGACTGGACTGAGATCCTAGATAACAGGGGGTGTTGTGATGTAATTTATTTCGACTTTGCGAAAGCTTTTGATAGAGTTTCACACAAGAAACTGATTCACAAGTTAGAGGTTCTGAAATTTCATCCGGTGATTACGAAATGGATTTCGAATTATTTGAGTGAGAGAACGTTTCAAGTCAAAATTGAGCAGTCATTTTCTAACGTGAAACGAGTAATTAGTGGTGTGCCTCAAGGAGGTGTATTATCACCAGTACTTTTTAACATTTTTACATCTGAACTTCCAAGCATGATTCAGCAAACAGGTGTCATAGCAAAAGTGTACGCTGATGATATAAAAATCTACAAATCGATATTGAACTCTGAAGACTCTTTAAAGATGCAAAGAGCGATAAACATTATAGTGAGCTGGTCTAAGGATTGGCAACTGCCTATATCTCCAACCAAAACGGTACAAATGCGATTAGTAACCGGTGCTACATCATCGATAGACTCTTACTCTATCGAGGGAATACCCCTCTCGGTTGTTGAATCTGTTAGAGACCTTGGTTTTCATTATAATAATAAACTAGACTTTTCTGAACATATTAAAATGAAAGTCAGAACAGCTCACTTACGCATATTTCGAATTTTCAAAGGGCTAACCTCGGCTAATAAGAATGCATTGCTGCATGCCTACAAATCCTACGTGAGACCATTGGTTGAATCTAGCACTACGGTATTCAATACCTCAAAGAAGAAGCACATATATACAATTGAAAAGGTTCAAAATAGTTTCACTCGCAAATTGTTTATAAGAATAGGTGGTTTTGAGTACTCCAACATACCAAATGCAATCAATAGGAATAGCTCTTTGGGTCTGACATCTTTGAAATTTAGGCGCAGAGTTTTTGATCTCTGCTTAGTTCATAAGCTGATACAAGGTCTTTGTTTGTCAGGTTCTACCAATGTCTTCAAGATGACACGTTCGAGAACTAGGGGAGGTTCTATGAAAATCTCCTTAACGCGACCTAAAACTAATCTACGTGCCAAAAGCTTCACGTATAGAGCTGGCAGTGATTATATAAACATTCGCAAAGAACATACCGGTTACTCTGTCACAAGCTCAGTTCAAGCATCGTATAGTCACAATACTGAGGAACCAAGAGTCATAGTTTTGTGAGACTGATTCCGAAGTTACCTGTTTTAGTATTTGAGTTTTTTGTTTATAAGCACACTGTTCTTTGTATATATGCTCATTTCTTTTCCACGTGTGCCTTTTGCAGACGTAATAAACTTATACTTATACTTATAATAGAGCGCTCAGAACCCGAGAAATGGGACCCCCTGCCCCGTGATCTCGCATCGATGCTACTCTCATTGGTGCTGCCCTCTTCAACGTTAACGCTTTTCTCATGCTGAACGGCTGGAGCCCCCACTTACCAGGAAAGGCATTCAACTTCCCATGGAACTTTGAGATGAGACCCAGATATATCGATAGAGCTTCAAACGCTGATTACAAATATGGAAACTAAAACTGCAAAATGAACCTGCCAAGGAAGTTGTGAGCAGTCAAAGTTGGCTGGAAGTAAAGCATTACACTAGCCTCCGGGCTTTCAAAGTCGCCGTGGAGTAGTGGTAGTGCTCTCGGAATTTGCGCTCCGACGGGAGGAGAGCTTATGACCTCCAGGGTGAATAGCGAGGGCACCACCACTGCTCCGCGGCGACTCTGAAAGCCCGGAGCTAGTGTAATGCTTTACTTCCAGCCAACTTTGACTGCTCACAACTTCCTTGGCAGGTTCATTTTGCAGTTTTAGTTTCCATATTTGTAATCAGCGTTTGAAGCTCTATCGATATATCTGGGTCTCATCTCAAAGTTCCATGGGAAGTTGAATGCCTTTCCTGGTAAGTAGGTCTATCCA